ATTTTAAATAAGAAATATCACAAAATCTGTCCTTTGTTTTATTTTGAGATGAGTTTTCAGTACAAGTTAAAAAAAAAATTACTGATGGTTAAATTTATTTTTGCTTGCTTATAATAAATGCTAATAATCACCCACTTGCTTATAATAAATCAATACGTGTTAGAAAATTGATTTGTAAAAAGATATTTTAATTTTATTTCTCATGCTGTAAATTTCTTTATAAAATGTAAAAATTTTAGTTCCTGACTGTTAATTCGAGTTAATGTAAGTTACACAAAGATAAAATGGAGACCTAAGCAGCTGGACTGCTTAGGTCTCCATTATGTAAAATCTGTTGTTAATCTGCTGTTAATTATGTAAAATATGTGCTCTCTTCAGGATTCGAATCACGGATATTCCACATGTTAGGTATAGATGCTAATCATTTACACAATGAGAGCATGAAAAAACTTCATACATGCTTTCCCACTTGAAAAGAGACTATGGTGGCGACCGGACATGAGGAATGCGATATTTCCTATTTAAATGTGCACGGTTTTAATTTTTGAGTGTTTCATATAAAGTACCTGAGCTATTATTCGTAACTTAGGTGGCAAAGCATCTGTAGAAAATTTAAATATTTTACTGCTCACCGAATAGGCGTAAAAAGGCCCAGTCCGAGTCGCAGCAATCGAAATTCAAAGATGTCTGCAATGACGTAAAAATTAAAGATTTGATCTTTTTCACCACCAAGAAAAAATGGATTTGTTAAGCAATGAATAAGGCTTGTTAAAATCTTGAAGTTAATGAAATACAATGAGCTTCGAATGGACAATGCTGCTTCAGTATAGGCAGTTCAATTTTTTACAAGGCACACAGAAATCCTTTAAAGCTTTAATAACCAGTTAGACCGGATATTAGATCCAATTTCGTTTTCTACACCTCATTTTGATAAAATCTTTCATGGCCTAGTTCCAGATTAAATCGATGGCACTGTGAAGAAGGTCACGAGATACCTTTCGGCTACGTCGAAAACTTAGCTATAATTGCGCAGCATAAAATAGAAACACTTCCCGGTTTTTACGCCTTACATTCAAAACAATATCCCTCCTCTTTCATACATAATGTTGAAGCAGATAGCCCTCGCGTGCTTTGCCATTATCAAACAAACCAACTTTCATACTATAGAATTCTTTTCACACCACGTTCTCATGGAAAAGTCCAGGATGAATAAGAATGAACAATTTAAAAAACAAACGACGGCACGTAACTTGCAAGATCATATTCAACAGCTAGCAAGTTTTAATAAGCACAGCATGAGATGGAGCTATGAGCAAAAAATACGTTAGTCATACCAGTACTATACAAATACAGAAATCGCGCTAAGTAATTCAGACAAATTGCAAACTCATGTTGCTCCAAGCCATTTGAATTTAATGATCTAAAAATTTAAGACCTCAGTGTCAGAGTTCTTGAAATTTTGCAAGAAACTGATCAATGCTAATTTAAGGGATACTTTTCTGACACAGAACTTTTCACTCGCATTAAAAATTCAACAGGGAGAAAACTTGGTTTTTGGCTGTTGAAATAATACTGCAGGAGTAAACAGAAATGTTAATAGTTACTCCCCACTCAATGTAGTCATTACTCTATTTTTAAAAATGTTTAAAAATATCTAAAACTAGTATTAAAATTCGAAACATGTTATTTTAATACATTTCAATAATGATTACAGAAATGAATTTCGATTGAACCTTTTGCATTATTTAAAAGCATCAACTTTCAATATAAGGCGAAAATCTCAAAACATAAACTGTGCTGAAATTTCAAACTAATTTTTATGTTATTTGATAACTCAGAATTTTCGATTTTGATTTAAGCTTTCAGATTTTTCGTAAATTCCCAGATAGTGCTTCGGCTGGTTAAGTTTTAATTTATAATGAAACAGTGTTTAAAACTAAGTTTACCAGCAGTGGCTCAAAATAGTACCTGCTCACCATGACTTCGAATTTCCAAAGAAAATCCAAATACAGAATACGGTAGTTCACCATAAAAATCAATACAAATTCTTAATTAACAAAGTTTCTTTACATAAAATCTTCAAAAATAAATTTCCTGACTTGCCTACGCAGGGTGAAAATAGAGCTAATCGTTTAACAGTTCCGATTGGCATGCTTATGTTGCAGTCTCTGGGGCATTGAAATTATTATATTTCCAATCGTCCGTAAAATTTCTCATTGATGATTTTGAACCATTCCCTCGATGAATACATATTTAACGTCGAAATTGGAAAAAATCCTTTTTCCCTAGTTACAAAAAGATTCTATACATTCTTCAGAGGGTTTTATATTTGGATATTGTTAGAGGTGTGAGAAGTATTCATATATGACGCAATACCACCACAGACTCATTGATATGTAACGTTTTTTTACGTTTGCTTAAAAAAAACTGGAATCGTTGCTTTCCAGTTTTAATCATTCCTTCGGCATCTCCTCATGGTTCACGTCAAACTTCATGATTGAACACTTATTATAAACGCGAATTTTCAGAATTTTACATTTCAATTCTTATTCAAACTTTGATATATATTAAATGAGGCATTTCATCATTTCGTGTCAATATTTAGAGTTTATTCGAGTAAACTCTCATTCGAAATATTCTATAGTTTATTTGAATATGCCAAAGCACTCAAGATCTGCTTTAAAAGTGAGGTGGACACTTAAGGGTTCAGTTTCGGTTCAGCTGATTAGGGCAAAGCACGCTAGGGCTATCTGAATAAGGAAAGAGTTGTTGAGTTATAGCAAAGCACAAGAGGGCTATCTGCCTAAGGGGAGGGATGCCTTCGTGGAGGACTTTCTAAGGGAAACTGGCTCGTATACACGCTACACGTGGGGAAAACGCCCATGCAGTCACCCCCGTTCGCGGGATTCGAACCTCGGACCGAACTACCAGTGTTCAGCGACTTTACCGCTCGGCCGTTGATGGGCCGCCTAAGGAAAGAGATGCCTTCGTGCAGAACTCACTAAGGGAAACTGGATCGTATCCAGGTTACAAATGCAGAAAATCACGAAAACGCCCATACAGCCATCCCGTGTGCCCGGAATCAAACCCCTGATCAGAATTGCCAGTGTTAAAGCATTTACCGCTCGGCCGCTGGTGGACCTAGTATTTACATGAAGTCCGGTGGCGCAGAAGCCAGCGCGTTGCGCAGCAGCGCCAGAGGTCCGGGGTTCGATCCCCGGGCTGGGCAAGGTCGACTCAGCCTTTCATCCCTTCAGTGGGTCGTAAAATGAGTACCAAGTTCGCTTGGGGACTAAACACCGAGGATCTCGCGACAAACTGATTACTTGTCCAGGGCATATGCTCATGTACCCCGAGGCCGACGGTCAAGAAAGCAGATATAGCGGCACTGCAGGCCTTGGCACACTAGGGCTGTTACGCCACTAAGTTTAGTATTTACATCGCACGAGAAGAGCCAACTAAAATACCCATGCAGCCAGCGTGTTCTCCAAGATTAAGTTTTCATTTTTTTTTTAAAAATCTTTGATATAACCCTGGCTGGAAAATAAAATATCGTTCATAACCAAATGAAAGCATCTTCATGCGATTTTAGAATTGGAATGTAAAGAGAAAGGTGGATTTGAAAGGCTTTCAAAAATCATTCACCCCTATTCAAATTTTGTGAAAGGGATTTATTTCGCGTTTCAGGATATAATTCAGTATATGCTCTTAATATTTAATCTGAACTATGTTTATCAAAATCAGAACGTTTAAAATAATGACTCCAGTGCCTGATAAAATTCAGAAAATGGCGAGTTTTAGCATCTTGCTGTGCACATTTTTCAATTCTTGTAATCTCTACAGTTTCGCGCATAACGATAAGCCGATTTTGAGGAAAGATCCTCAAAGCAGATTTATGCAAGAAAATGTAGAAAAGGAAAAAAAAAGACTAGTAGATGACGCACTTTTAATGAATAGGACGCCGTCTGATATAGCCTAGCTAGAGATACGAGTCATATCGAGATTAGTGGAAATAATAGTAGTTGATATATTTCAGGTTCTTAACGTAAGAACGAAGACGCTAAACAAACATATCGTGATAACAGTTAATACATTTTCATCTAATTCTGTTTTGTGGTTGTAAAGCCAGCTTCTGACGATTGATGGGACTTCAAAAGTTATTCTCCTTCACGAACCTTTTCAAGGCATCAAACAAGGTGAAAATTCATTACGCTATGCTTAGAAATTTCATTCTCAGTTTTCTGTTTATTACACAGAAAACAAACTGCAGACACCTTGTTACCCAAGGACAATAAACGCGACATCTTATTCAGCTAGAGCACAGCATACGATACACTGGGGTAAAGAAGCCTCCGTAGAAGACTAAGAAACTGGTTCAGGTTATGGAAACCACGAAACATCCAGTCTCTCCAAAACCGTGTCCGAAACCGGGTCTAGTTACTAGAATAAATGCCACACCTCAAATTAAGTTCATTGAGAAATGTACACTTTACCACGGGTCATTGGAGGAAGCAGTACTTCGATACAGTTAAATGCCAACAGATGGCTGTGCGCGCAGAAAACCGTTAGTTTGTTGGTTAAGACAAAATAACGGCTTTTTAATTCGAAGGATATTTCTGTAGAGGATTTCAAAAGAGAAATTAGTTTGAAGTCATGAATGAAACACGAAGAATCCATACAGTCAGCCTTTATGTCGTTAATTTAATAACAGCCCAGAAACGGAGCATTCATGAACAAGATATCCTATAACTGGTGTCAGGATGAAAGATTTTTAGAGCAACTCTGTTCTTATATTGAAAAAATAGTCGAGACACGTGGTATTATGAGTATCAGGTTAGCATATTTAAAACGGTGTTTTACTCTATCGAAATTTTGCTAGCATTTACATCCTCAAATTTTTAAGAACTATTGCAGATAACTTGAATAAAAACATAAAATATATTATCAGTCATTCTTAAAAAGGAAAAATATTAATATTAATAAATAAACTTTTAACTTACCTTGCAGCAGTATCCATTACTTGAACTAATTGCTTGACAAATCTATTTACAACCATCTCTTCATCGTCGTCATCACACAACTCAAATGCATCATCGAAGAAAATGTGCACTTAAGAAAAGTAAAAGCGCATTTTTATAATTTACTCTCATGCGATTTAATACTTAGTTATAATAGTTCTTTTAGAAGTCATTTTATTTCAATAATTATGCTTTCAGAAACAAAGAAGTTTATTCGATTAAAAACGATGAAAATTAAAGCACTTTTTTCCTCAATATTTTCACTTCTATAATGTTTGGAGGTATCATTTTAATTCCTTTCGTCCGCAAAATTGCCAGATTTAAACTTCAGAGGTTGCATCCTAAACAGCGCAAAACTCTTATTTTACACTCGTATCTTAAACCAAAGGTTCCAATATTTTATATCATACGAAGGAATCCAATCTAGGACAAAGTCGTATGATTCTCCTACTTGGGGGGGGGGATAGATGCTGCGCTAACTTATGTAGTGTACAATAGCGGATTTCACGTGGTTTATTAGTTTCATAAGCAGGGAAACAATATCAAGTAAATTTAACGATAAGCCAAAAAAGGCAGTTTACTTAAAATCTGTGCGAATCTGAAGCTCTTGTTTAATGACAGTTTCGTAATGATTTGCTGCGCAAGAGATTTTTAGTATATTAAATAACGGCCTAGTAATTCAGTCTGCATTTTCACCAGGGGAATCAAAACCGTTTCAAAGGGTAATTATATTGTTCACTTGCTCAACACGGACTCGAATTAATTTTATGATATAACATAGATAATGATAACAGTAGTAGAGGTATGTTGTTCGTTACATGGATTTGTATGGCAGAAAACCCTTAACTGATACTGTTACGAATTTCGTACATATATAATGAGTGAAATTACATGTGAAAGTCTTATTTTTTATGTATAATGCAACATGAAAATATAGAGATGTTCCGCCGAAAAAATACGAATACAGGGGCAAGTCTAACATTGAGAAATCTTACTTTTAACAATCCTTAAACTTCGGGACAATTTGGCGACATTTTGGTCTGGTCCCTGCATCACTGTAATAGGTATTGCAGTTGAGTAATTGACTCCATATGCATCTGTAACCGTATCGCTCCCTTTCATAGTGTTAAAATATGGCAATTTAAAACTGCTGTGCGTCAGAATAGCAACACTGTTTGCTACACAACTTTCACATAAAGCAACCCGAGCCAGCATTCATTGTTTGTTTCACTTGCAGTTTAAAAACGAATGCCAACATTAAAACGTTTCAAAATATTAACAGGACTTACAACTAGTTAAAATTATAATACTTAACTATTTGTAACCAATTCGAAAAAATTCTCATTTCAGAAAAAATATCTTGATACAGCATAATTTCTATTAAGAGGCAAAAACATTTTTGACAGAAGTGAAGTATCGAACTGATTATATGCTTTACTTTCATAATTCTGAACTAAAATTTTTATCAATGCATAAAAATAATTCATATTTAGTACTATGAGAAAAAACTGTTATGGATTACATGCATTACAATTGCAACTTACCTTCAAATTCGTAATAATCGGGATCAACGATTCTCAAGTATTTTTGGGCATTCCTCCTAGCACACTGATCTTCATCCATCCTACAGATTTGCATTTCATTTGAAGTTAAATCTCACTAAAATGTTTACATTGCTAAAAAAATTTTAAATTAGTCCAAATTGGTTTCAAAAGAGAAAATACTACACTACCTCACAACTGATTTCAGCATTTGTAGCATTTCTTCTGTTGTTTCATGCCACATTGTAGCACATGCGTAAATTCGAGTAATATGGTCAGAACTTCTAACAGTAACATTCTTTCCAACCTGACCACTGGATGTTTCAGTTTGTATAGAAATTGTTTCGTAGTACTGTGATATGTCATTTTCATCATTACCTTCAAGATCTAAATCCTACAAAAAAAAAATATTCAGTTATAATTGAAGCGCATTCTCTTAAAACTAACACAAATTCTCCAATTTCTTATTTTTAGTATTTTTCTTAAAGAATATTTCAGTTTATAATTTTCTTTCTAAAAATGACATCATTCAAATAACTGCAGAAGTAAAAATCATTAAACAGAGAAATTATATTGCTGTGAGTAAGTTAATAAGCCTACTATTAACATTAAAACTTTTTCTGAACTTCATCAAATTATTATAAACTAAAATATGGGGAACTAATATTAGTTTATATTAGTCTTATACTCAGAATTGCATTCAGTTACATGCCACTTTGAGTCAAGAATAAAAGGATAAGTTAAGCTTTGGAACGTACTTCGCTTTTTATCTCGCCTTCATCATCTCTTCTACGATTAAGAGCAACAGACTGATCGATCAAGACACCACAATACATGGGGTTCACAAAGAGCCTGAAATTCAGACAAAATGCTTGTTAATATCAAAGTTGTCTTAAAGATTTGGCAAAGATTTTAGATTTACTCACTTTTCAGTACTTGCCAGACGTTCACATTTTGGCGTCCATATATGCACAGTGACCCACGTTTGTGAGAGAAGCCATAGTAGCCAAATCCAAGCATACTGGCTTGAAATGAAATCCTGAAAAAAATTACCCTGAGGACAAGTCCAAAAGAGGTATTTAGGAAGAATATCTTCAAAGAAACACATATCTTCCGTGCGTACTCCACAAGCTGCTATGAGCATCGATATGCAAACCGGTATCGTTAAACTTATTGGAAATGCGAAACTAAAGCCTTGAATGCAGATTTTGCATGCAAATTTTCCGAATACATAACACAGAAGGGATGCCATGATTTGAATGAGTGCTACATAAATAGGAGTCATCGCGGATGACATAATAGATACTTGTTCATCTAAAGGGCTTGCCGTTGGAACATCAAGCAAAATATTTAAAGCAAGAGTCCTTCTGATTGGTTGAATCAAAATTGGATGACTTCTAAAACTGGACGTAAAACCTCTGAAGATAAAAGATGCATTGTCCATAGTTAAGTGTAAAAATCCGAACATGGCACAAAAAATAACTAGTATCTTCCACATAGATAAAAATATATAGGCGAAGTACCTACTCTTCCTGAGATCTTCTTTCACGGAACTTAGTTTTTTTATAAAGGCAATTGGTGATTTTACGTCTAAGTAGTTTTCCCACCAACGAGTGGAGACCAAAAACATTGAAATTGGTATTAGCCAAGATCTAGAACCACCTTCCGTCATTGGCCAAATTACGAAACCAGTTCCTTGTAAAATCACCGATAAGATATCGAATACCACTTTGAGTGGCCTCTTGGATTCACCAGCATGCCTCGAGAGCAGTCCTAAAACAGCAGGGATGAAGCAAACACAGTTCGTTATCATAGCGCCTTTGATTACGTCAAGATCAGGTAGTACAACAAAAACCAAGAGTGACAGTCCTACAGCATACATGGTTTCGGCAATAAAGACCTGAAATTGATAAAAAAAGTCATTTAATCGTTTCACAAAACACAAAAATATGGAAAGTGAAATCATTTTCATTGCTGAATACGTACCACAATGAACGTTGTAAGTTTGGGTTTTCTGTACGATTTGAAAACGCATATTCGAGAACTTCTGAAAAGGGCAAATAGCTCAGGAACAATTAATGCTAAAAAAATTGACCATATCCATGGAATTCTTTCAAATTCTTCAAGAGATACTTCATAATCTCTATCACGATCCAAACCTAAAAATGGGCATTAAGAAATTTAGATTACCAAGAGAGTCGCGCACTAATAGAGGCAAAAATGTGCAGTTTGATAATATAAAGAATGAATGACGACTTCGAAACACATTTCAGTTTAAATGCGTATTTATATTCATCTGAATGTTAAGAGTAGATTTTCAATGTTATATTTAAGATCGTATTGTATTTGTCAACTTGGAGAAAAGATGTTATGTAAAGGCATAGACAACTACTCAAAGCTCCATATGAATGTCCGTCCTAAAAGGAAGAATTTCAGAGATGTAAAGCTTGCACTTGCAGCACATAGCAAAGAAACCCACGAAATACCAGTTCTGCATTCCTCCCATTCATAATTATACTCTGATGGGCTCGTAGAAAGTAGTCGGTTATCTGATTACGACAAAGCAAATGAGGGCTATGCTTCAGAAAGTACTTTTACGGGAGCTGCGAAAAAAATGCAAAAAACCTCACGCAACCAGCTGTTGGCTAAGAATTCTATTCGAGACGAACTACTAGTGTTTAACATCTTATCCATTCGGCTAGTGGTAAAAAACTTAAGAGCCTGAGGTAAAATGAATATTTACTTAATGGCAGATTATCTAAATTGTTTTCGATATTAGAAAGACCAAGTATACCTTATTGAATACAGACAGACTTTGAAATGTATTCTTGAAAATTCTCTTTCGTAAGTAATGTTTAACAATATTTTCCGCAAAAGGTTGTTTGCAGATAAATTGTAGAATAAAAGAACACTTATGCTAAATAATGAGGAGACAAAAACTTTACCTAATCCTTTCTTGCATACGGATTGAGTTTTGTTCCCTCGTACATGAGATGTCATGAAAAGAAATGTTCCTTTTGAAATAACTGCTGCACCAAGCACTATACAGAAGGTTAACATATAAACAAATAATTTAAGTGCCTTCAACGTAACATCCACGGCCCTTGATATCAGTGTTTCATCACCTTCCTCTGGTGGCGTAACTACAAAAACATCCCAGCCTTTCACATCCTGTCCACTACGCCGACTGAAAAGAAAAAGAGTAACTATTAATTTCAAAATAAACTAAATATTTGTGTGAAAAAGTGGTAATCGATTGGTAAATGATTTGACAAAGACAAACTAGTCAAGAAAAATTAGCATCCTAGTAGTAGTAGCATCGACTGAAAATTACCTTTTATTGACTAAAAAGTAGACATTGTATTTTCATGAAATGTATATTTCAATGAAATGACATTGTATTGACTGAAAGTAGACGTATTTTCATGAAATGGTTATTTCAATGAAATGACATTGTATTGACTGAAAAGTGGGCATTGTATTTTCATGACATGTATATTCTCTTTGCAAAAATTCGAAGCACCAAGAACAACTTTTGCGATCGTGACGAAATTTGGTATGCAAAAACATCTTTGATCGAATATGCAAATGTTCAAAGTTTCAAGGCAAAAGAACAGGAATTGCTATCATAGCGGGCATTTCTAGTGCACAATTCGCAAAGTATAAAACCAGTAACGGGTAACGTGGGGGGGAAATTTATCCCTTTTTTGTTGCTGCCACTGTAATTCCGTAAAGAAGCAACTAAAGCTGCCATTACGACGATATCAAAGACCTTACAACTAAACGACTTCGAACGTGGTCGCATTGTAGGGTTGCGTGAAGCTGGGTGGTCATACCAAGCAATAGGCCGCCACCTGTAGCGTACAGACACTGCTGTGCAAAGATATTGGCAGTAATGGTTGCTACAAGGAAATTGCCTACAAAATGAAGGCTGTGGAAGGCCAAGGAGCACAAATGCGAGGCAAGATACGATGATTGTTCGCCAGGCCCGAATCGGCCCAACGGTATCAATGTAGACTATTCAACGCACTACAGCCACGTCTATACCTCCCGTGGTACCGTCCACCATCTCACGGCAATTGTCTCTGAGGCGGGGTTACGCTCACAGAGGCCTTTAAGACGTTTGCCTTCGACTCTACAACATCGGCCGAGTCGTCTGGAGTGGTGTCGCAGCCAATCATCATGGTTGCCATTAAACTGGCATCGTATAGTGTTCAGCGATGAATCGCGTTTCGCTCTTGAAGCAGATAACCACCGTGTTCATGTCTTGAAAGGATGGGGCCAGCAGTCCCAACCAGCCTTTGTTTTACAAAGGCATACAGCCATACTCCCTAGTGCTATGGTGTGGGGCGCTAATTCTTACGACAGCAGGTCATTTTTAGTCATTCTCCGTACATCTTTAATAGCTCAACGATATGTTAATACCATTCTGCAGCCGATTGCATTACCCTTCATGGCACGTCATCCTGGTCATTTTCCAAAAAGATAAGTCAGGTCACATATCACTGGACTGTCTCCGTGTGGCTGATACTCTTCCTTGGCCAGCTAGGTCACCAGACCTCTCACCAATCGAGCATGTCTGGGGCATGGTAGACCGCCAGATTCGGGCACCACAAAATATCGCAGATCTGGTGTGGTAGTGGTGTTTCTAATTACGGGAAAGCTCACTAGGGCTATCTGCTTAAGGGAAGGGAAGCTTTCGCGGAGGACTTTCTAAGGGAAACCGGCTCGCATACACGTTACACATGGGGAAAAGCACGAAAACACCCATGCAGTCAGCCCGTTCCCGGGATTCGGGATTCGAACCTCGGACCGAACTACCAGTGTTCAGCGATTTTACCGCTCGGCCGCTGGTGGGCTCGCAGATCTGGAGCGACAACTGATGAATGCCTGGCAGAATGTGTCGCGGGTTAAGGTGATTAGGAGCCTCCACCACTCATTGCCTCTACTAATTCAAGCACGCTTTGCCGCCAGGGGCGGTTCGACCAACTACATATTTGAACACTTAATAGGTGATTGTGAGCTGTGAACAGGTGCTATATGACCTTGATTTTTTAATCATTTTATTATCTATGTATGAGCTATACACATATTCAATTTCATCAAAAACAACTACTTCCTTCATAACGCTTCAATTTTTTTGAAAAAAAAAAAAAAAAAAAAAAAAGAGTGTATTTCAATGAAATGACATTGTATTGGGCGAAAAGTGGGCATCCTGTTTTCAGCCAATAGTTTAGCTGATTATCGTTAAAATAACTAAAGCCCAAAATCTAAAAATAGCTTTAACTTTATAAAGATCAACAAAGCTGGCTAATCTTTGGAATATGGTAACAGGTAGTTTGGCGACATTTTGGTAAGGCGAAAAAGGTTGCTAGCTAGGACTTTAGCAGTGTACATGGATAAAGTCAAGAGTGTGCGCAATACCATTTTTGTGCAATTCTGGGATTTTTTTTTTTAAGTGAAAAGAGGTCGATGTGTACATGGATGATACCGTGTATGTGCAATTCTTAAAAACGCGGCAAGCAGTGGGCGATTCTGCACTTTCTCCCAATTTCGCACCTAATCTTCGTCATGATTGAGCACTTTTGTTCCATAAAAGTTCTAGCATAAGCGTAATTCGGCTAGCACATTGTTGGAAAAAAACGTTGAGTAAAAAAAAAAAAAACATGCTTTTACTTCGTGAAAACAAAATGACGTCGAAAACAGAACTAGCAGGTTGATGTAGCAGGGTTGGTCGCCAAATTCTCGCCAAAAAATCGCCAAGTTACCATAATCGAAAGATTAACCACAAAACAGTTTCTCTTCTAATAGTCATTCCATCTTGACTATATTACTTAAACATACTTATAAATGCTTAAGAAAGTGCATGGTTCATGGAGGACTTTAAGAGAAACTCGTTCGCATTAAAGTTGCACATAGGAAAAATCGGAAACGCTTAATCAAAAGAGCACTATTCAGCAGTCATGTCATTCGGCCACTGAGAAGCTTCCCTTAAACCTAAAACACGAAACGCTGCACTTAAAGAGGCAAGTGCCGCTTGCTAAACTTCTCTTGCAATATAAAACATTATGCATCTGATAAAAAAAAAGACTAAAGATTGTTACGTCAGTCATTTTTAATGGCATTAAGCAGGGCAGAACAGTTACGTTCACATAATAATCAGTAACATAATGGTTATAAATCGTCCCAGAAATTAGTTTTTTTGTCCTCAGTCTATGTACGAGAAATTTTGGTTAAAAACCTTTCTTCCAAAATAAATTATTTTTGAAATAACAGGTATATCCTTTATTCAGTTTCGAGAACGAAACTGAAATTATGAAATTACGAGAGTTGACTTCAGAAGCACGCATTACGTAAAATTTGAGGTTTACTTTGATAATTCCGTTCTAAATTTTTAAATAATTCTGTCTTAAGTCAAACTAATTTACGATTTTAACTAAAAATAAGGCTTCTACCAAATTCAGCTGCTTAGACTTTATTCCTTATATTTCTTTTTTAAATTAACAGCAACGTAGATGCAATAAATCTAATGATCATATAATACATTTAAACACCGCTTTTCAAAGCATATTTTCTGAAGTTCCAAATATTGTGTAAAAGGTCATGTAAACTCGCATTTTGAACGTATTTATGTGAAAATATCTATGGGATATATACTGGAAGAGATGCCCTTCTATAAAGAAATTTGATTCGTATTTATTCTAGGCAGGAAGGAGCATTTCACTGACAGCGCTAACCTAGGCAAAGCGTAAAGCACCAGGAATTTTAGCTTTAAGCATTCGAAATTTCTTGAAGCATTATAACAGTTCCAAAATAAGGATGTTGTATAGTAAATTTTTCTTTCCTATTCAGCGTTATGCCATCATATGTCTCTTTAGTTCAAGAATTACTTATTCAACATACCAAATAACAAAATTTCCCAAATAAAAATTTTATTATGTTGCATTTTTATCTCAGTACCACTGATTTAATAAAGTTGTTTAGAAACAAAACCGTAAGTTTGTATTTAAAAGTTCATGGTTATACGCACGAATCATCTAAGGTCATTGTTGCAACTTAAGAGAACGTATGAAGTCACGTTTCTCAGCAACCGATGTTTATTCGTTTTCAAGGCACGTATAACAACTTCCCACGTGCTAAGCCTCTGTGGGCGGCAGTTATAGACTTGGGCTGACAAACTTTGAGTCAGCCACCTTTTCCTTTAATCAGATGGTGTAAGTGAAAGCAGTGTTGATGGCGTTTGATTTTTAATGGATACAGTTTCATAATATTCGCAGGCGATAGATCATGTGTACTACATTGAGACAGAAACAACGCATGATCAAACTATTTCGTTCTTCCTGAAGTCAGAAATACTTTGATGTACTTTAATTAGGAGAATACGGAAAGCAATAGATACTTTATTATTTATTGCTTTCGTATTCTCATAATTAAAGTTACTTTCTTCGTAAGATTCCATACATTGCAATAATTATAAAGAGGAAGGGTGGTAAAAACGTTTGTGCTCACGTTACAGTAATTAAAGGAGTGATTTAGGCTCCTTGTAATGCGAGCTTCACATGTTTGATATGCATTAGACCTAAATTTATGTAACGAAAGTGTGATTTAACAGATACTATTTGACACTAATATAATTATATAATTAACAAAAGTAAATGATTAATCAAGAAAAATTTATTAACTGTTGAAATTTCGATAAATAACGACGTATTGCTAATTAGCAACAAATTGCTAGCGAAATCTCATGAATCTTTGTAATACATGCATCTTCATTTTGAATTTAACTCAAATACTGCTAACTGAATTAATTCTCAGCATTATTGAAATTTTCAATGCATATACATTACACATTGGAAATTCTAGTCGTATAATCTCGAACATCAGAACGCTCTGCATTTAGTACTTAATGTAATATTAATCATTGCACTGGGCGTGGATACTGATCTTTTTGCTTAACCATCAGTGGCACAGCGGACAAGATCACTAGATCTTAGTATTCGTAATGGATTTGGATATATGAGACTGTTTTCCTCGTAACATGAATACTAACAAATTTCTTTCAGAAAATCTTGCATGAAAGCATCTCTTCTGGGACATGGTTCAAGTAATTTCACCGCAACAAATAACCTACATAATAAATAACTTACTAAATCAATTGTATTTATACATTGTTTAATATTATGTCCC